TTTTTCCTTTGGCCTGTTGACTACTCATTAAAACTGGGAAAAATCCACAGTCGCTTTGGTAAAACTCAACTGCTGACAATTCATCAGTTGTGCCATCTCGTGGACAGAGAACCCCACTGGAGTCACATCCAAGCAGTCTGTTTCCATCCAGCCAACACTGGAGCTATGCCATGCCTCTCCTGGCCTGCAGGTCAGAGAACAGGGCTCACCGGTGACAATGAGTGTGGAAGCGGGTGGTGACGATACACTCAGGAGCCTGGATGTGCTGGCACTTCGTCGGTGTGTAACTGGCAGGACACATAAAGATAAAAATCCCGCTGACAGAGCAACAGTTGTTGCTTTGATGTTAAGGATCCAAGAGTTCAGGGCATTAACAAACAGATAAAACACACACCCACGGAGAAAGAGGCTCTGTGATGAGACATTGAAAAGGGTTCTGCAAGTGACTTCATTCACCCTAAAGGCCAGCTCACCAGCGTTGAGCAATCTGCTGGCTGGAGCAGGAATGCCAGAAATCAGTCCTCCCAACCTGTCAGCAGGCAGAGACGGTCCTTATCTCACTTACACCTGCCAAGAGCTGCAGGACCGAATGCAGAGCTGCCAGTAACCAAAAGCAACCCCAGACGGATCTGGACCATGACCTTTGTGTTCAAAGGATGCCCTATCATTTGACGCTCCAAGAAATTAAACCATAGCAGAATATTTCAAAAGTACTCGACAGTATACCACAGGGAACTATATTCAACATCTTGTAATAACCTTCACTGGAAAAGAATATGAAAACAAATATATGTATGTGTATGCATGACAGGGACATGGTGCTGTACACCAGAAACCGACACATTATACCTGACTGTACCTCAATTAAAAAAAAAATTTTTTTAAGTCCTCAACAAGAGGAGTATTTTCACATGGGTTGTGTCTGTAAAATAAGGCGTGAACATTTTCACATGTGGGCCAAACGTTCCCACCCAAAGAAGCAAGAGACAGAAGCATGAAGTCAAGGTGAGATGCAGTACTTCAGGAGAGTGGTGGAAAGAGACGTGTGTGAAGCTGCAGTCTGAGAGGCAGGACTGGGGACAGACCCCAAACCAAGCCGACCGAGTCCCTGACCCCAGGAGGTAGGCAGCGCAGGAGCACGTGTGCTGGTACAAAGCCAGAGAACAGAGAACAGCAGCGTTTGTCAGAGAGGAGCTGGGAGGGCGTGGAAGAGCTCAGCAAAGTCCCAGCGGGACGGAGCCAGAGACCCTCACGCACGATGCCCAGTCTTGGGTGAACACGGTGAGACTGTGAAGAGCGGACAACTGACAGCCTTCATCTCCAAAGATATCCCTCGAGAGGACCAAACACTTAGCCCTACCATATCTTCACTGCCTTTTTCAGAACATTTCCAGACTTCCCCCTTGGAAAATTCCTCCAGAACCCGTTTAGGAGCCAAAATTGCTATTATTCTGCTCAAGTATCTACAACCTGCTGGACAATCATCAAATCAAATCCACCTCATAGAACGAATATTTGCCCTCATTATAGATACTTTAAAGCATGTGCTTCCTGCAGGCTCTGAAGGAGAATTCCAAGACCTCCAAGATATTTTAACCCATTGCTGCAGCAACTGAATATATTAATTGCCGTGCAAAGTAAGCCATTTAAAGAAAAAGCTCTCTTTATGAAAAGTAAATTTCAATAAAACTATATTAAAAAAATCAATCAAATATAAAGACAAAAAATGCATCCGTTTATAACCAAATATTCCAAATTGACAAAGTTTCCAGTTTTCATAAACAAGTATCAATCAAAATCTAGTCATTCTAAACCCCTGTCGTACACCAGGGCATTGCGAGTCCAACAACAGATGAGGGGGAACAGAGCCGGATGGTTTTACTGAAGTTCAAGCTTTGAACCTTAGGCCATGGCTCAAATTCTTCCCACTTACTAAATGCGTGATGGAGAAAACTTATGAACCTGACTTTCATGTTCTCATCCATAAAATGGGAATATTAATAGTACACATCGATTTGAGGGCGATTAACTGAGGTTACATTTGCCCATTAAGCAAATAAGTGTGCCGCTCATGACACAGCAAATAAGTGTGCCGCTCATGACACAGCAAAACTCCTGAGTAACCAGAGTCATCCTGTGACTACTAATTTACACGTGGCTAGTATGAAGCTCCGTACATGTCAGGAGCAGACAACAAAGTTCATAAAGACCGACTGGCACCGGCGATTGCCAGAATGCATCACGAGTTTGCAATACTCTGTGTCCTAAAAAGCATGGACAGAGCAAACACGTTCAAGGCCAGGAGGCACCCACTGCCCAGAGGCAGTGCTGGCAGCCAGATGCCACAGCAAACGCTTTGATTATTTAACCCAAACTGGCCTGACTGAGAGATGACAAACTTGCCTCTCTGTGGGCAGGAGGTCCCCTGGATGCAGGAGACAGGTGGAGGCTTCCCCTTCACATCTCAAAGGGTCACCTTCATTTAAACTAGCCAGAGTAACTCCCCGGTCACAGGAATGGCTGCAGGTCCGCCAGCATGAAATGAGCAGCCCGCCCCGGGGGTGGGGAGCCCACGGTCCACTGGTTCCTCTGAAGCTGGGGTTGCAGGAGCTGTGGCTGTGTGCTCAGCCAGCACAGGCTTGCAGGCACTCATCAAAGTGAAGACCTGCTCCTCTGGACTGGGTGGTAACTTCGAGAAACGCTAACTCACTTGGCTTGCTAGCAAGGCGGATCAGCAGGGCTGGGTGTCCTCCGTTCAAAGCCCTGGATTGCAGCCACCGGGGCTAGGAAGCCATGAGTCTCTCCTCTCTCCCTGTTTAAACACCAGCACCTCCTCTAAGACTTCCTCGTTCAGTGGCAGGACTGGGACCAAAGCTCAGCTCCTCAGCAAGTGAGGGGTCTCTGGGCAGGCCAGCCAGTCAGAGATCTGGTTCCCTCATCCAGAAACCAGGGATCCTAAGGCCCGCCCCGCCCACCGCACAGGTCAGCTGTGAAGACGTAACAATGACACAGGCTTACATCGCTAGGACACCTGACAGTTTTTCAAGAGCGTTCTCATGCTCTCTTCATTGGTCCCAAAAGGCTAATGATGGTATCTATAACCGTATTATTTCCCTTTGTCAATTTTCTCTCAGCGCAGGGCCAGCCGAAACCCACAAAACAGTCTCAACAGTCTCGTTCAAAACAGGAAACCTAGCAGTTTGTCAACAGCGGGGAGTCAGCCGACCCCGGGATGCTACTCAATCCAGCTGAGATAAGCAGGGCGTGTCTTAAAGGGCCTATTCTTCTTGGGGGTAGGTATCCTGATCTCCCTCCTCCAGAATCAACAGTATGGCTGGGGGAGAAACAAAGAGAAAGGGCAGAGAAGGAAGGAAGAAGGCTTTCTACCGCATAGTCTTGGACCCTGGGGCCAGCGGGTCAAAGTCTTCCAGCAGTTCTGGAAGTCTCAGCCCACCATCTTTCAGATCCTCCCCTCCTCATCTCCTCTTCTTTCAGGTATGAACTGAGCACCTACTGAGTGCTGGGCATCGGTAAAATTTACCGAGCAAACACAAGGACAAACTCTCCTTTATGAGGTCTGGCGTCTCACGGGGGGAGGGGGGACACGACAAGCTAATTAAGGCATCATATGACTACACCTGGCGCTGCAAGGGAAGTGGGTCCCAATGAGCAATAGGTCATCCGAGCAGCCAGAGAGGACGAGACTCCTGTCGGGAAGTGGCACAGCCTGCTCCCTGTCAGGGCGCCAAACGGGGATTAAGCACACGCCGGGGCTCTCCAGCTGCGACAGAAGCCACACCACCCACCGGCCAGGGGCCAAAGGCAGGAGGAGGGTGTAATTACCCACCAAGCACCAGCACTCCAGGCAGGCAAAAACATGCTGTCTTCCAGCTGTTTGTGTATCATTAGGAAAGAAATTAAGATGTCATTAGGAAGAAATTAAATAATGCGCATGTTGTCGTGACAACAGAGATGCAGGCTGCCAGATCCCGCGGGAGCAGGGACTGCCCAGACCCAGCCCCTTCCGGGAGATGGAGCCGACAGAGATCCAGGAGGAGATGCCGTCTTACCGGTTGTCTTCCCCCTGTAGAAAATCTTCAGGTCCATGGGCCCCGTGAGCCGGCTTGCCAGAATCGCCATCTCGGACCCGCTATGTTTGGAAGCTCGAAATATGCTGAGCTGTGACCAGTCATCCCAGTAGATTTCGTTCTAAAAAGAAAAGCTTCGCTCATTAGTCAGCTCTTTGGTCTTTTATTCTGGACGCCCAGTAAGAACCAGAGCTCCACCGTGTAGGGGACACCTAGCATTCACTGGCTGGATGGCAGACCTGATCAAGATTCCACTTACAGGGGAGAGGGGTACAGCTCAGTGGCAGAGTGTGTGCTTAGCATGCACGAGGTCCTGGGCTCAATCCCCAGGACCTCCAAAAATATACATATATATATAAAAAATAAATAAACCTGATTAACTGCCCCCAACCAAAAAAGAGTAAAAAAATTCCACTGAAAAGAAAGAGTCAGTGATTTTATCCAAACCTCACCAAAGATCCACACTGAAGAACCACCCAAAAGAAACTATCCGATAAGCATTCAGGTTCAATCATTCAACCACAACCAACGCTTCAGTACAAAACCTGCTTCCCCAGGTTGAGAAGCAGCATTTTGCCTTCTAGGGTTGAAGCAGAAGTGACAGGCACTCGGGAGGCAGGGGTCGGGCGGAGCTCATCTCAGGACAACAGGGAAGGAAGCGAGCAGACCTCACGAGAGACCAAGACACGGAGCTAAGATGAGGCTACCCACACTGAACGGCAACCCGGGAGTTTTCACACGGTGCAGCCTCGACCTTTAACCTTTTGAAAGGTGAAGAGTAAGCATCCTGGACCCCGGGCAGGTCTGTCTAACATCCCTCCCTACGGGGGGAAAGAAAGTGCCTCAAATGCAGAAACAAGCTGATTTTCTAGACGTTAGACACGCATCCCCGCAGAACCCCGGAGGCAGCAGGGTCTTCACCTCCGGATGCTCCTCCCCTGCGCTAACAGACCGCCTGATGCTGGACAAAAGGGAGGCCCCACCTTAAAGACAGCGATGGCGTAGGGGTGTGGGAGGTTGTCCAGGATAATGGAGCGCTGCTGGCCGCCGAAAGTGATCCGCTCGATGCAGTCCAGGTAGGCGTCCGTCCAGTAGATCCACCGGTCATCCACGGAGATGCCGTTGGGCCACTTCACATCCTCCGACACAAGGCGGTAGGCATCAGAGCCATCCATGTTGCTCCGGTAGATGCCCGGCTGCAGGTCTCCCCAGTCGGTCCAGAACATCACCCTGGTCGAAACCGGGGAAGAACACACCTCCCGTCAGAACTGGGGAAATGGGAGCTGAAACATGTCTGTAAAGGGGTTCGAAGACCCTCTGCAACAGTCCAGCCGGGGAGTTCAGCACGGCCATTGCAGGCTGTTTCTATGACACTTAGGGCCACTTAATTACTTGGCCCAGAAATTCTTTTGCTGAAATGTATCTATAGATACAATCAAGTTATGCACAGATAATGTACAACAATGTTCACCACAGGGCTGTTCGTACTAGCTACATTTGTTTTATGCGTGTGTATATATACACACACACACACACACACACACCAAAATGTCGATCTATAAACTGGTATATTATAATACGTACAAAAAAATATAATGAAGCCCAAATATCTACATGTGCTCACATAAAACCATCTGCAAACCACACTAAATATTTTTTAAACAGGCAGAATAGCAAATGTCCTATGATTCTATCTGATGTGTGTTCACATGTGTGTGTCCGTGTGTTTAAAGGATATGTACTTGTACGTGGGTGAAAATAAATTCTGAATGATACACAAGAACCTATTAACCGTGGTTACCCCTAGGAAGTGTGAGGGGGAAGGGTTAAGAGAAAGGAAGAAAACAAATTTTTTTTTTCATTTGACAAACTTCTATTCTCTTTTAATATTTTTAATCAAATACATATAGTACTTTCAGAATTTTCTTTTAAAAATAGATCTAACCCTCAATCATAAATGCTATAAAGTCTAATCTGGAATTTCCCTCTTAGTGATGTTTCCTTAAGTTAAAAATAAATTAATAAAAAAAAATCTTTGCATGCAAATTGCCAGTGAGAAAACACAAGCTTGGGGGTGGGGCAGAAAAAAGATGGAATGGGTTAAACGTTTGTTATCAGACATGAAACTCGAGATAAAGAGATAAAGGCTCCTTACAACATCCAACCAAGCCTGACTATGTCTACAGAGGTTTTAACACTACCCTCATTAAAGAAACACCCTCAGCGGGGCGCCTAGAGACAGTCTGAGGCTTTCTAGCAGAAAGAGGATGGAATTAGCTGACCAAGACGACCAAGCTATGGTTCCGAGACTTGCAGTTCACAGATTATTTCAGCCATATCATCACAAACAACTTTTACTCCAGCTGTTTGCATTTCCAAGAACCCGTCACACATGGACTTCACTTACCCATCCTGGGGCACGAGGACCAGAGCCCTGGGCCGATCGAGCACAGAGGAGTTGACGATGGTGAGTCGGAAGTCGCCATCTGGATTCCCTACCTGGCAAAGAAAGCAGGGACAAGGCCAAGATGGCCCTGAGCTCCTTAAAGGACTCCCATTGCAAAGTTTCCTACTTGGCTCCCGGCTCCAGACGCATCCCTCTACCACCGCCTGTCCTCTGCTAGCCTTCTAGTCAAAGCCTATCCTTCCTTTAAAATGCCCTGCCAGGCCCACCTCCTCTGCACCCTCCTGACCCACCTCCATCCAGGGGCATTCACAGTATCACCACCAGCTCTTCTTACACCGTTTTCACATACAGTATGTGAGCTGTAGGCCATGGGCGGGTGGACACCTGAGCTCTGCCTACTTCCTTCCAGCACCCAGCCACGTGCTGACCTCACTCGATTAGAAAAAGGTGAGGCAGAGCAGTAACGAGACCACCAATGCCCTGGCTCGGCGTGTCCCTGGTCTGTGCGTCTTTCCATTCCCTTCTCTCAGCCACCCCGATCATCCTCTCCTCGGTCAGGGCTTGGCTCAGATGTCACCTCCAAGACACCTCCTCTCCCTAGTCACACGAGTACACTGCCCCGTCTGACTTTTCTTTGCTGCACTGATCACCAAAAAGACTGGTGGACTCATCTCTTCATTGTTTTGCTTCCTCCACTAAAACCTAATCTCTCAGCACAGGAACTTGCATCTTGCCTCCCGCTGTATCATCACGACCTAAAGCCACACCTGGCACACAGCACGCCTGGAAAGAAGCACTTGTCAAGTGACAGAGAGGATAAACTTCACCTGACAGAGGGGTAAACTGACGCTTAGAGAGGATAAACCCCCCACCACAAGTGGCTCGGCTACCAGAATCAAGCCCGAGACCAGATCTGTCTCTCCAGTCTGGGGCTTCTGTCCTGTAACTTCTCTTGGCTCTGTGTCTCCTGGCTTCTACTGTGCCTTCCGGTAACCTGCATGTCACGCCTCCACGTGGACACGGGGCTGAGACAGGGCCCCAGGAACGTGCAGGAGTCGAGTGTGACAATGAGATAATGACTTGGGTGGTTTCGAGACCATTTCTTACCTTCCTGTGACCGCCCGGAGCTAAAGTGCAGACAGGTGAAGTGAGGATAAACCTTCCAGGGTGGTTGTGAGAAGTGAATCAAGTAATTCACTCACAGTGGTTCCAACAGGGCTCCTCAACATTAATTTAACACAATGACGATGACGGCGATCGTGAGATTATCTTTATTACGCTAACTGACAGCCATGATATTAGAGTCTTGACGCTATGGTATTATTACCATCATCACTGTTACCACTCTAGGCTTCTGCTGCCCAAAATATAAGCATTCAGGTATCTTGAGGACATCTCTGTTTGACAGATTCAGGCAGCCTGCTCGCACCTGGGACCTCCACTCTCTGGAACTCTCAGAGAATCTCCAGAGGAATCTGACACACCGGCTCCCGCCTCTGTGTCGAACCTGCCTCCCAGCCCAGGTGCTCCCTGCCTGCTTAACTCAGGACAGCAGGGAACACACATACCTCAATCTTTTTGAAGCCAGAATCCACCCAGTAAAGTAACTGGCTGAGGGGCTCAAAAGCCAAGGCTTCTACTGTCTCCAGGCCAGAACTGATGATCACCTCTTGCCCCGTGCTCCCGTTCAAGCAGAGGCGCTGAAGAGAGAAAAAGAGGAGACACCATGAAACGGTCACATGACCTGCGGCCCAGTCAGTCCCCTGGATGGCAACTCTTTCTTCAACTGGCTTGACTGGCAAGGGAGGAGATGGTTTCTATGAGTAAATGTTCCAGATGAATAATAAAAGCAGCATTTCTAAAACGGACTTCAGCTTCCTGTTTTAAGCAGAATAACTAAACGGAGCTGAATCATTTCTGCTACCCTGCGTTCTCACCAGGAACACTGGTCACCGAGCTCTGCCCTATCACAGTAACGGGGTGGAGAGGCCTGAAACGCATGAGTCTGCTTGCTTTTAAAATAAATGAAACCAGACCGCTGTTATTTTTAAGATCTTGTTCCTGCTTTTTATAGTCTTTCCTCCCTCGAGAGGCTCTCCGCCGTCAGGGGCTATTGCGGGGTCCCCCTTCCCCACCCCGTCAAGTACCTGAGCACTAAAATTTCTGCGGGGTTGAAGTCCAGGTAAAACTTGTTGGAAGTGCTTTTCCAAAAGCATTAAATAGACAATGAATAAAGATCAAATAGTTCTCCTTTAAAATGCACGAGTGCCAGTGTATGACTATCTGTCTGGCCTGTGTGCGCAGCGATCTTTACAGCTTCCTTCCTGGTTCTTCTTCTCCCCCCTCCCCAGTTATTTATTATTTAGAGGAAGTACTGGGAATTGAACCCAGGACCTTGTGTACGCTAAGCATGCACTCTACCTCTTGAGCTATACCCTCCCCACTCCTTCCTGGTTCTTGACTGTGCTTGGAAGAGCTAGAGTGGATAATTACGTGAACGATGGACAAGTCAAATGTAACTGTCGCGGCTCACAAAGAAGGATGCTGAACAGGCAGCGGGTACGGTGGGGAGACTCATAATCCCACATACCCAGTCCTAGAATCTCCCAGCAGGAAAAGCGAGCCCTCACTTATAAGAAAGATTTGGAGCTCCCTCTGTCCTTCCTCCAAGGTTTCACCCACTGGCCCTGAGATGACTTAAAACCTCGAATGCCCATCTCCTTGGGGGCTCTGAAGAAGCTTACCAGGACTGGGCAGCCACAAGGCACAGACCCAGGGATGACGCACCTGGATGATGTCCAAGGCCAGGTCGGACCAGTACAAGCAGTTGCGCTCGTAGTCAAAGTCCAGGGCCACGGCAGCCCGCAGCCCGGTGACAGGCAGCTCCTCGCTGACTCCCGAAGCCAGGTCGTAGCGGTGGATGGACTTGCGCATGGCATACAGCATGAACTCGTTCTCCTCTGCAGACACACAGGGCGACAGGGAGGGTGGGCCCGGGGGATGCTCAAGAGGTCCTCGTACGCCGGCCCTGACTTTGCTCTCACACATAAACCTCACGGCCACCATACATGGCTGGACCGAGTGGGAATGTAGGAATAGGACTTCGAAGGTGGGAAAAGGACTCACACTTCTGCCTTGGGCAAGTTCCTTAAACTCCTGTGACTCTGTTTCCTTTGTCTACAAAGGGTCTACTTGTTACATTTAAAAAAAAAATCTAGATCCACTCAGTAGGCACACTCCAGCATCCATCCTTCAGAGCTCGGTCTGCACGCTTGACATAATAATTACCCAGCTCAGCACATCCCACCTCGTCACAGGACCGCTTCACATGGCACCATAATCTTGTTGACCAGAGACCTCGAGTTACTCAAGACTCACAGCTAAGTTTTCTGGTCTCATTTACTCACCCATCCAATAATGCTCACAATGACATACAGCACTTATATCGACCTATTTATTTTCAAAACAATAATAATACATTTTTTTCTTGACCACTTAGAAAACATTTTACAACACAATCAGCAACAAAGGTTCTATTTCCACTTAACACTCACACAATGCACATCCTCCATCCTAGGCGTTGTCTGATCCATGAAACAACTCTTCAATGGAAGAGCTACCGTTAACTCAACTTTACAAATGAAAAAACTGAGAGCAGAGAGGTTAAGCAACTCACTGAAGGTCACACAACGAGTAAGTGGCAGAGCCAAGACTTGAACTCAGGCAGTCTGGACCCAGAATCTATGTTTTAACCACTACAAAATGCCACCTCTTCTGATACAGGCGCTGATGGTGCCATGTTTCAAGCTGTGGAAATAGAAGCCAGGAGTGCTTACGAGACTGACTTCACGTCACACAACTTAGTAACTGGAAGAGCTGGTGTTCCTTCTCTTCCACTTTGGGGACAGCCTGGAAAACCTCCAGATTCTCCCATGGGAATGGAGATGAGCAACACACCCGCATCCATGTCTGAATCATCCACTGTGGCAGCATTTGCATCTGGGACCAAGTCGCAAATCTGAATCCCTCTGCTCTTGTTTCCTCTCTCTCCCGCTCTCCTTTCATTCATTCCATTCTCATTCCATTCAATGAATTAACATGTACTAGCCATCTCTGCCTTATAAAGGTTTCAATGTAGATAATGCATCAAAAAAAAAACTACCCACAATTTTTACCAAAGGTTAAGTTTGCCTTCTCTCCCTTTGGTATCACTTCACTTCAAAAGGATCTAAGCTAGCACCACATGGTAATTAATCTCTCCCTCTGGTTTTCAAGAAAACATCCCCACTGTAATTCCCAGTGGATGGTGCAGTCCAGATGAAAACCACCGACTTTGGACGTGAGGCCGGGATCAAGGACTCTCGTTGACGCTGCCACGTAGAGTCATGGAGACGCAGCCACAGCCGCGAGCCCTCCACTCCACGTGGCTCCCTACCATCTATAAACCTCGTTTGGCTTTCTTCCCTTCTAATCCACAAGTGCCTTTCGAGTAGAGCCTGAGTCCAGAAACTCTTGCCTTAGGATTAGGTATAGTGTTTCATGTGCAATACTTAACTTGGAAAAGAAACAGAATTCTTGGCCAATCCCAGCCATACTTGAGCACAGCCTAGAAATGTGGGTTATTACCCTAATCTCTAAGGAAGAAAAATTACTTCATTTTTAAAAATCCTTGCAGATGACCAGATGACCTCATGATGGCCAACATACAACGGTTGCACCTCAGCCCACCTTTTCCTCTCTTGGTACAACCTTGCCTTCTGTTCCATGCGTTTTAAAAAAAAAAAATTAGGAGGTGGCTTTTACTATGAATAAGATTTTTCCCACTTCACTCCCTGTTCTTTCTTCTCCTATCCGAAGAGAAAAAGGCTTTGCCACCAGTTTAGACAGTTTTAAACAAACTGTTTCGTCCCTCGCTGAATTATCTTCAGAAATATTTATTACAAAAGTACGTACTCCAGCCCCTTGAGAGCAATCACTCAAGCCCGACTCACCCAAGCCCTCATCAGGAACAGCTCCCAGGAGGCGACTACTTGAGTATTATCTGCTCGTGTGCGGGAATCTGCGAAGCCGTGTTCTTGTTAAGTCTCCACGGCGAGGGATGTTAATTACTCCGGTAATGATGGAAGATTAAATTAAGGGACTAATGAGCTTAGCGTGAGAAACACCAGGGCAAGCTGGCAGCAGCGAGGGAACCAGAGCGCTGCTCTTCCCTGCCTGCAGCAGACAATTCACCCCCCCACCACTAATGGGGTTGGCCCCCCAGCCCCGCACCTTCACCGAGAGGCAGGAGCAGGAGGGAGGGCTCAGTGGAACGAGAAGCCCTATGTGAATAAGACTAGAAACAGAGCAAAGAAAGAAAAGATGCTAAGAGATCAGCTATTTGTTAAGGTTTCATGATTTCACATCTACATCGCACATACACCTCAACACCTACACCACCACTAAATCAACTTGAAGACGTCTGCAACGTGCTACACCTTTACAGCACATGCACCTGCTCCAAAACTGTGCCTCCTAATGAGCTGGCATATAATGATCATCTCAAAGAATGGGAATGACACTTATCTGCCACTTGGGTGATGTCCAAGGACGAGCATGGGGCTCAGAGTCTGAAATTTAGCTTTGTCACTTACCAGATGTGTGACCTTAAATAAGCTGATTAACTCTCTCCTCTGAACACGCTTCCTTATGTTAAAAATATCCGTTTCATTGTGTAGTTATAAGGATCAAATTGACAACACACAGAAAAGTACATTAAAATGTGCAAAATTTCATTAAAATGTTAGTCATAATTATTATTATAAGAATCAAGATAGACCATTTAGCTGTTTCCCAGAGAGCCACAAGTCTCTTTATAGGACAAATAGATCAAGGAATACACAGGAAGCCTCCGGGCACCCCTCAGTGCCCATGCCGCCCAGGATACACCAGATGCCAAATAAACATGAACACAAAGGATTTCCCTCAAAAAGTGCCTTCCATTCCTATAAGCCATAAGCCTATAAATAAATGTCATTTGGATATTGAGCTTAGCGGGTAAAGGGAGCTCTGGGTGCCTGTAACTTCCATTCTTTCTCTCCATGAAGTTAGAAGAGCCGGTTGAGATCATGGAAATGCTTCAACGGTGTCTCGACAGGACAAAGGGAGGAAACCATGTCTTACCTGCCAAGGGACACGGCACCAGCTCTCCCTCCAGGCGCACTTCCACATCTCCTCCACTGCAAGTGTCCCCAGAAATCTTCCGATAGCTGTCACCCCCACCAAGGGCAAGGAGTCAGAAACATCAGAGAACAGCCATGACGCCTTTGTAATCGGAAACTTTTTCCTATCCATGGACAACAGAGCTTATCTATTCACGTCCCACTGGAGCAAGAAGAAGGATGCTAAGTCCCTCTGAATCGCTTCTGCCTGTTAACAAATCAGGCAGCCCAGGCAATCTGGAGTACTGCCCAGGGCAAGAGCTTCACATATACCACTGACCCTTGAACAACGGGAGGGTCAGGGGTGCCGACCACTCCCCCTACACCTGACCCCAAACAGTTGAAAATCCACGTACTGCTATCCCTCCCTCAAAAACAAAGGAATTGATCAACGACTTCACCCAAAGGCAGGAAACTGAAAGTCTGAAAAGAATCAGGACTCAGATCCTAGGCCTTGTGATTCTACACAGTGTGATCTCTAATCAAACCCAAACTTTTCCCCACAGCTAAAGATCTGTAAAATGAAGAGACAGGTACTCTATTTATTGAAAAAAAATCCACGTACAGGGGACCTGTGCATTTCAAGCATTTCAAGCCTGCACTGTTCAAGGGTCAACCGCATCTCTTCAGCACACTGCTCTGAAGACGTGCGCTTGCTCAAGTTCATGGACTTAAGACACGATCATTGTGGGGAGGATAAGAGCTCTGCGGGAGAGCA